GTTGCCCCTCAGCGACCCAGAAATCAAAGGTCAGCCTTTTGGGGCCATGACGAAAACATGGACCAAACAGGGAAGCCAAAAGGTTAAAAGGTCGATTCGCTTGGTTGCCAGTGAGGCAAAGAGAGGGCAGCCACGAACGCCACGCCAAGTCCGAAGTCCCCAACCGGGGCTTCGGCGCGATGAAAGACCACCGAGTGCCAGAGCGCTTGGAAGAGGCAGGAGAGCCAGCAAGTCTCGGCTTCTGGATTCGCAAAGTTGCCTCAGACGCTGCGCGCGCCTTGCAAATGCGAATGAGGCCCAATGAAACATCCAGAAGTCGATAGTCGGACGTTCACAAGCCTGGAATTGCAACTGGGGTGGTCACATTTCACACCCAAACATGCTGAAACCGCCATGGGTGGCGTTTTTAGGCGCGGAGGTAATACGCCATTGGTATAAGGGGCCTGGCATATAGCTACAGCCCTGTTTCTGCCCTTACGTCTTTAACATCGTACACAGCCGCTTCCAAACAACCCACCTGAAAATGCCCTTGAATGCTTGATCTTTGAAGGGAACATAGGGGCACGTCTCCAGCATGTGTGTTTGCAAAATGGCTGGGGCGCTAAAGCGGCCGAAGGGTTGCGGCTGAGGTGCGGTGAATGAAGGACCCCCTGGCCAACACAGGCGACATGCAGGCGGTCGCGCAAAACCACGGGAGTGTTTCCCTGGACCTGTCTCATGGTTGGTGTTTCAACAAGAGAAACGGAAAGGAAAGCACACATTTTGGGGGACCATTGTGAGAAACACCCATGGATGTCACTAAGTTTTAGATCCCACTAGAACCATTCATGCGTCAGCGGTTGCCGTCTTCCCGTTCCCCCCCCCCGCCCCCTGCCCCAAGACTTGCCGCAAGGATGGTCACGGTGAGTGCTCCCTTACTAAAGCCTCGTGGGCTAACAGTTGTTGCCCGATGCATTTCGCCTGGCTCGCCGAGCGAATAATGCTGATCTAGACTTCTGACCTGGCTGCGGAAAGCTTGACTTCGGGGGTGTCCTGCTCACTTTGCTGACCACTACAAATCCACAAGCTTCATTTACTAGGTCCTCCAGTAGAGAGGCTAGAACAAGGGTACCTGTTTTTTGTAGTCTATTTTAGCAGGGGAACCCTCCCCCAAAAAAGAAACGGTAAAAGGGCACTACTGGGGGACCTAGACAAATCCACAAGGCTTATCTGAGCCTAAACATCAGAAGCACAAACAAACAGACGAGCAAAACGCCGCTTGCCCGTGCCTGTGGGCCAGCGATTTGCGAATGCGCCCCGCATCCGTGCGCTCAGCCGGCTCCTGCCATCACCACAACAGCACCCTGCCTTGGATACCATCTCTAACAAAAACCATCTTCAGGTTTCATGTCTTTTTTTTGAAGCGTGAGGATGGCCTTGAATGAAGCCTTCCTAGTATAGAGTCTCCAAGACGTATTTAAGCTGCAATTGGCTAATGGAGGCACTCCCCTCACAAAGCTTAAGGGTGGCCACACTACGCCTTCCTCCCGAGGATCTGCATTCTGCACATCCCAAATAGGGAGTTGGACACATCGAAGAATTACCAATTCCTGTTGGCATCCTTTTGCTTGTGAGGCGGAGGCAAAATAATTGTGGGCTACCTAGCGTCCAGTCTTTTCGGGGAAAAGCGGGTGTCAGGTACATGGTCTTTCCGGGTTGCGGGCCTTGAACTCTGCCTCCAGCTGGTGTGCTCGTGACAGTCGAGGCCTGTCACCACCCAGCTTGGCGCAGAACCCTTTGCCCTTGCAATTGCCTGTCGCGGAAAACAATGCCCAAACCCAGGTGCACCGGGGATCTTTGACTATGGGATCACAACAATCAGCCCTCCCTTGCAATTGCGCGATTCGGGTAGATGCAAAGATTTAAAAAGCATCCAGCTTTGGTGTGACATGGGCCCTACAACAACTCTGCCACTTGCAAGGTAGCCCTCTCATGTTCCTCCTAGGTGTTGACTCGTTCGGGTCAAGTTTTCAGGCCGTTTTGGATGTTTTCACAGCCTCTGAATCATGTTGTTCCTACTTTTCGCTCATGTTAGTCGCTAAAAATCCAGGGCAAAATCATTTTGGCCCTAGTAAACTCAACTGGGCTTTTGACCAGCTGCCCAGCCGGTTTCTCCATGAGCCGAAGGCTGCGTCCGAAAATAATGCATGCTTCCGGCACCTGCGTAGAGCGACCCAAATCAGGACCGAAAGGAGACGGCAAACAGGACCGAAAAGATCAGGGGCCAATTCCAGGACCGAAGCGAGCGAGCAAACCACTACGACCGAAACGATTCTCCAACTAGGACCCAAACGATACGGCACCCTTCTGCACGGAGTGGAGTTGTATCAAGCATGGTTTTTCCCGCCTGCTTTGGGCCTTCTCTGCTCGCGGAGAGCGGGAACGAGAACGAGAAGCTTGCCTCGAAACCGTCCGTCCACTGTGGACAGGGTTGTGATAAAAGATGTCGTCAACTCTGTGCACTTTTTTGGCCTCCAGGTCTGTAGGCAAAAGGACTGGCAGACTGATCAAGCTGAATTCCCTCCCTGAGCATGTGGGGAGTGAGAAACTGAGGCTCACGCCGAGGACTTCGCGCACGCTCTTGAGATCCTCGAGTGCAGAAGAAAAAGAACGACTTGGCCGCGGCCCTGTTCACACGGTCCTGGCATGGTCGACCCTTTCACCTGTAGCATTATGATTCTTTTAGCCAAGATTGGACATCTTGAAATATTGCTTCAAAAAAAACATTACATTGTTTTGGTTTTCCTCCCTAGAATCATGCCCTGTAAACACATCATGGAAAAGCCATCCTCTGGGCCGCCCCCTTTTACCTCCAAGGCCCTTCTGACTCGGAACTGGCCGGAAGGCCACCGCATGGACACAAACTCGAGGAAGCTCCCTATGTTTCAACACCCAAAAGCAAAGTCACGCAAAGAAAGGTGATGCTTAAACCCCCCCCCCCCCGGCCATGCCCCAACCCTAAACCCAGCCTCAACAAACCCACCCCACCACAAGACCCCAGAAACATGATACACAGAAGAGTTCCGCTTTTGCTTGAAGATGCCTTTGTGTGCGTGTTCCTTGGAATTCCCTTCACCCGCCCGCCCCCCACACTGGTATGGGCAATGTTCAGGCTTGGTTTGTGGTTTTAGGGTTGGCTTGTGGCTGGTTTAGGCTTGGTCTCTTTGAGGATTTTCTTGGTGCACGTCAAATCCAAAGCAAAAACCCGCAGAGAACTGCAGAGAACAGAACTGCCTTGGGCGGGAAGGGACGCCCCGAAGCTTCCAGCTTCCCCTCGGAGGCGCCTGCGGCGCCGGCTCGGACGCCCAGTCCGCCGCCCTTCAGGTCCACCGGGCGCTTGCCCGTGATCCGCCGGGCCTAACGATCCGCACTCGGCGCTTTCCATCCGCTGGATCCACGGGGTGGCCTTTAAGGGAAACCAAAGGCAACCTCCGAAGCCGGTTCAGGTGCGGCTTTTTGTTGAGGGGATTTTTCTTGTTTGTGGGTTTGGCTCCATGTGGACATCGGAAGTACATGAAGTGATTGGTTTGCAACCTACGACCTTTGGCCGGCAAAAATGGGGAGGATGTTCTCAAATTCACTGCTACCTGCAGAGTAATCCCAGTGCCTGGTAGCCTTGTTTTGGGTGGCCCAACCAAAGGAGACACCAAAGGTTGGCAACACAAATTCTAGCAGGTAAATCTGCCGACACTTGTCGAGCGTGGGCTCCCTTGAGGTCTTAAGGTGGGAATGTGTCTTCCTGTGGAATCCCTTGCAGGTGAAGGCATACGAAGGCATTGGTCGACACATACTGGGCGGCAAATGGAATATAAACCTTTTCACTGTGTCTCTCCAGTCACACTGACCCCAACATGGTTGTTCGGACTAGTGGACGGCAGGCTAGCAAATGATGGGTATGGGATAGATATATCCCCAAAGCAAATCCACCATTTTGCCTCCAGCTTTTGCCAACGAACGCTTGATTCGGCTTGAGCCCTGGCTCCCTGTGACCGATTTTCTTTCAAAGCAATGGCCTCCGCGCAAAACCTTCGAGTCAAGAGACTGGTTCGAGAGTAACTGGATATGTTACATGTGGAACCTCGGGTTCATGTCAACGGAAGTGGAAGGCCTTGGAATTCTGGCTGGGGGCTCCTTAGACGGAAAATAGTTCCGAGTGGTCTAGTCTCCATGGAAACGCGGCGAGTCAGAAACTCCCAAGCCAAGGTCCCATTATGTTGCGTCCCGAGTGACCCCTGTCCCTGCTTCACAATATGGAACTATCTCTCATTAATTTCCATTTTTATCAAATATACAATCGGCCGTTTTTTTTTTTTTTTTATGTCCCTTACTTTGAACCGGCCTCGAACACGGGGGGCAATTGCCGAATTCAAAACGACACGCCCGGTGATACGTCCCCAAAACCCGGCAGACCTAGCCCAACCCACCCGCTGCCGCGGGGCGATCCGAGGCCGTCTCAGCGAGGCCATGTCCGCGTCTCTTGGGCCAAGATGGGCATTTCGGTTCGAAAAGCCCACAAAACGGCGCTCCTGAAACGGAACAACTTGCATTTGCATTAAGCCCCCTGGAACAAATAAAATATGTCCTGTGGTGATAGATTTGCTTTAAACAAAAAAAACGACAACGGGAAATAAAAAAGGCTCTTCAGCAAATGAAAGATATAAACCATGAAAAAACAGCTTCCTACTAATCGTGGTTTGGATTCGAGGTGCTTGGTGGTGTGGTGGGTGGTTTCCCATTCACCCTCTGCAGCCAAGGGTTCCAAATCCCCAAACAAATCCAAACCACCAACTAATTCTTGCCCACAACCCACAAACAAGCAAATTGAAACCCCCGATATGGGAATTTGGCGACTCTTGCTCAGGTCCTCAGTGACTTTCGCAAAAACCTAAGAGATCCAACGGTTGGTTTCCCACGAAGCCCCCCGCTGCATGGTCAGCTGCATGGTCATCCAAGCGCCCCACCAGCTTCCCAGTAGCGCGGTCGCGACGATTGCCTGGCGTACCGCTGGAGGTCTCGATGAAACCCTCGTTTCATCGTGAGTCTCAGGTGTTGCTCCGGTACTTGAACCGTCCCCAGTCCCATTTGCCAGCCTTCCCCTGGTACGGAAAATGGGAAATGAAACTATAAATGACATTTCAAGGATACCAGGTCGGCCAACCGGCAAAAGAATCGCCCCACCCGCCTGCTTCCGGCCTTGGCCCACGAGACCACCCGGACCACTGACGTTGTGGCGTGTCAAAAATAGGATAACTCCAAAATGGGTTACCCTAAAAGGAAAAATGGACGAAACTTGCGGCGGTAAACAAATTGGCCCATACCCAAGTCCCGTGGCGCCATGAGGCTCAAGGCCCGGACAAGGAACCCAAAGAGGTCTGGAACTCGTCCACGATTCGCTCCATCTCCTGCGCCTTAGCAACAAGGCCGCACACCAAGACAGGACAAACAAATGGACTAACCAATTGATCCACAAAACAAAAAAGCATCCTTCGGATTGAACGGACCAACGTCCTTGCACAGTTCCTCCATCGGCCTTCCAAAGTTGCTTAGACCCCGGCATGCTGCCTGAGTCGCACGTTCAGGGAACGCACGGCCTACAGGGAAAGCTGGCAGAATGAGAGAAGCTCAAAAACCGCGAGCTGACCGCAGCCTTCTCTCTTTTGGCCGGATACGCCGGGTATCCATGGCAGTTGCCCCCAAAGACATTGAAGCTACCGCGGCCGTAAGCGGCGCAGCCGCGGCCACGGCCCTGGTCTCCATGGCCGCCGTGGCCGCCGTGGCCGCCATGGCCGCGGCCGAGACTGCGACCCTGGCTGCGCTCGGAGGCGTAGTCGCTGCGCTGGCGGTGGAGTTCCCTCCGGGCGATGCTCATGGCTTCAGCCCTGGCAGTGTGGCAGGCGGCCAGCTCGCCCACCAAGGTCACCTGGCGGGGGCTGTCCTGCTGTTTGCTTGCTTGCTTGTTTGTCTGGCTGAGCTCTCTCTGTCTATCTGTATGTCTGTCTATCAGTCTGTCCGTCTATTCCTATTTCTTGCCCTGCAGGACCAACAGGTAGCAAAATTGTGATACTGAGCATTATGGCAAAAGCTGATCTCGAGGATGGAAGCCTTCTTTGTAGGATGTGGCTGGCTTCGCTTGTGCCTCCACCGCTTCGTTGCTGTCGAGCTCATTGGCTTCAACCCAAGCATCTCGCATCCTGATCACCTCACAAGCATCATGCCACTGCAAATGCCCAAAGCATGACAACACGCAACAAGGAGACGAGAAGGCCACACGAGGCCAAACAAGGTTCTTTGGCTAAGCCAATGACGTGTGTGGCCACTTCTACATTCACCCCGTGCCGCGCCAGCCACTTCAGCTTTGGCACCAAAGCTTGCACGTCTGGCGGCGCCTTGGATTTGGCCAATGAAACTGCGAGAGCAACCCGCGCGCATGACGTGAGAAAGGGAATGTCTGCACCAACTCAGCTGCGAACTGGCACTTCTGTCACCAGCACGGTGGTCTTATCGATCTTCGCCTCGCTTGGAGTCGGACTTTGCATTTAGAGGACCCTCTCTTTGACCTGATGGTCTGGTAGCCTGGTAGGAGCATAGCAGCACACCATAGATGTGTACCATGGTCGGTCCGTGTACAGGTCATAAGGGCATGGCCATGGTATCCATGGGAATCTCAATCTCTTTGGTGGCTTCAGGAGTACTAACCCCTGGTTGGTTCGTCGAGTCTGTCGGATGGTTTTAGCAGCCAGTTCTGACTCTGGCTCTGGTTCCCTCGCTGGAGGGTTGCGCAGGTTATTTTCGTTAAACAGGCAAACCCTGGTCCCCTTAAAAGGAGAAGCAAAGGGGGGCATTGGGGGAACAAGAGTTGCTTAAGCATTTCTTGAGCCTTAATACATGCTTTAATCAAGAACTGCTAAAACAATATAATAGTGAAAACAAAATGTAAACTTTAAACTGTGAATTAAATACAGGCTTGGTCAACTTCTATTTCCGAGTTTTGTTCCCCGAATTATAACTTCCCCCGAATCAACGAATGAACCCTATACTAGTAAGTAAATATATGTTTGTTTGTTTCACAGGCTCCAGTCCTCCCAATACTAAATTGGATTTGATACTAGACCAATTCTAAACGCCTGGCCCGCTGACCCTAGCTGCAGTCGTAGGGGGCCATGTTCGAGCCGGCACTAGACTTGAAGCGAAACCATGTAGCTGCACAAATATGTTGGCAACAACCATGAGCAAAGCCGAAGTCTGACCCAAGCACTGCAGTGACACACACACACACAAATAAAAGTACCCCATAACAAATATCCCTTCAATTTGTGGGGAAAAGGGGGGGAGGAGGGTATTTATAGGGGGGAAGCGATTCTCCATTCGCGGGACTTGGCTGTTGGCTGTGGCTTAAATGTACCCAAAATGGCACCCTGGCAACTGGAAACCAATACCCCCTTTCCACCAAGGGAAGTCGGCAGGGTTCCCCAAAAGGATTTGTAGTCCTCCAGAACCCTGTCAGCTTCCATTGGGAGGGTAGCTCACCGCCTGGATCCGGGCACGGCCGGCCGCCACCGCAGCTCTGGAGCCCTTGAGTGTCAGCACTGGCCCGTCCTCGCGGGCAGAAACCACCCCGACACAATGGGAGGGGACTTTCAAGGAGAGAACGGAGGGAGAGAAACAAATCAAGTCATGAACCCCTCTATTGTGGCAATTTACTGCCGCATGTTCAAGGCAAAGTGACATGCGAAAGGTGGAAGATGCAGGCTGAAAACAGAGGCTGCCCATTGTCTCACTCCATTTTGTCGTGGCTCAAAAAATGGAATCCCAAAAATGGCCCCTTGGCAAATGGAAACAAAAAGTAAAACCTGCGTAAGCCTAGCTCAAGCTGGGTCAAAATTAAACCACCTGTGGACAGCAGACTGCAGGTTTTAATCCGTGTTTCCATTTAGGGTTCCATTTTGTGGTCACCCCATTTTGACCCACACCCATCTAGCTTGCCTTTGCGCCAAATCTTGCAACCCGAAACATGAACCCGACGCAGTCTGAAGCACCCAAGTTTCTGGGATTTCAGAGTCGGACGCGTGCCAACTCGTCCAGGCGACCCATTCAATGGGCCAAGAGTCCTCCTTTTGCTGCTGGATGATGACCAGGTTCTTTCTGGCCTGCAAGGGCTTGTCCTCCTGCACCAGCTCTAAGACCCTCTGGCACGCCTCTTTCCTCGGAACTCATGGCGCCTCCCTAAGGCGTGGCTCTCCGATTCTGTTTCACGTGTAGCCCAGGCCAAATATACACTAGTTTTGGAGGAGACACTAGTTAAAGCCGTGCGATTGACACATAGTGAAGCAAAACGGTGCCACTCGTGCTTGCCCGAGCATCTGGATGCTTTGCAGCACGTCTCTCGTGAAGATGCCTGGCAAGCTCCGTCGAAAGAACATGCGCTCCCCACGTGGTTCCGTCTCTGATCCTGCCGCCCACGATCACACGGAAATTTGAACAGTCAAGCAACGAAAGGGGAGTGCTGATTGGTGAATGCCTATCACTCTTCCACCATCCCTCGGTTGGGATCTACATACATGAATCGCCTCCAATTTGCACAGTCAACCAGGGTTCCATTTTTTGACTACCCCAAGATAGACTTAAATCCAGGGGTTCTCCTTTTGGAGAACATGAACCACCCCTGGGGTTAAGTCTACCTTGGGGTAGTCAAAAAGTGGAGCCCTGCAGTCAACGTATACGACCCCAGCAGGTGGCATATTGACGCATGCACACGCACAGAGAGAGAGACCTGTCCTCCCAGGGCGGGGTTGATGGAAACATCCTCCTGGATCTCCTCACTCCTCCGATGTGACGCGCTTGTGTCTTGGTTGCTACTTCCCTTTCATCTGGCTGTGGGTTAAAACCAATGGGATCCCGTTTTGGGGTAGGTGCACCACCCACTTTAGAACCTATTTGAGTGGAGATTGGGATGTTCACTGGGAATACGGGCTTTTGACCCTTGGCCATCTGTTCCGACAGCTCCCATTCCCAGCCCTGCACTGGCCATGGAAAACGGTCCCGAAGCGAGGCCCTAATTGGGCACTGGAGGTTTGGCCGGGACGTCTCCGCTCAGCTGGCTTGCCTTTCCACAAAGAGCTCCAGTCGCTCGGCGCAGGTGCAGCACTTATGCCTGAAGCGTATGCCCTCGGGTGGATTCTTTCGCAACTGAGGCCCATCTCTCCAGCAATTGAGCCAGTGGTCTAGATGGGATTCGCAAAAAACAAAAAACAACGCACAATGTCTGATCTAAACTTTTCAGGCTTGCTTAGCACGCTTCAAGTATGCGGATCTTTCATCAACCTATCCTTGTTTTAACATTGCCCAGCAGACATGCCCAAAGCTCTACTAGCGCTGGGAATGTAAGTTTTTAGTGGGAAAACGTGGCATCATAACCTCAATATCATATGGGTGAGTTGTAAGAGCGATAAAAGCTCGCCAAACTTCTCTATGAAAGGAGGCGTGACCTGGCTTCCCCAGATCCGGTTTGCTTCCCTTTGCTTGAGCACACATTCCCAGTGCTGTTGAGGCTCCACAAGTCTTGGGAGCACTTTCGCCATGACACAACACGTTTGGGTCATTTCATCCGCGAACCTGAAACATGTTTGTACTAAACCACACTTGCCGCGTGACAAATCCCACAACCCTGATCTGCCAATGTAGCTGCTCAGAAAAGAGTACTTCGGGGGTCTTGACTGAAAGTGACGGCTCAACTTACACAAATGAACATCGCCAACGAAACATGCAAAGCATCATTGACGCAAACAGCTTCAGCACCAGCCAATCTCAAGCTGAGTCAACATGCTTCTTCGCCGCCCCTGAAGCAGGGAGCTGGGTGGGGCAAAACATGGTTTAAACACCACGTTTACAAGGGAAGAATCATTATAACCAGTGGTTTAAACATGTTTGAACCAATGGGTGGCCCCACCCTACCAGGGAGCCAACAAAACCCCACCCCCACTGACCAGGCCGGGTCAAGCGAGTCGTCGAGTCGGAGCGCGCGATCTCCGCGCGCCTGGGGCCTTTGATCTGCATCTTCTTGATCGACACGCCATGGAGCACCTCCAGCTCCTACCGGCCCGGTCCACGTGCGAGTCACGAAAAAACGCAAAAAGACTCAGTTGTTCAGTGACCCTCGAGAAAAAAAAGGAACCCTTTTTGGGGGAATACCAAATTTTTACTCGGGCAGTCACAAAAACAAAGGCGAAAAAGGGTTCCACTGAACAATTGAGAAGATGCCACGTGGTGGCAACCAAGGCAAGCTGTACGTCTAGGTGGAAAAAGGTAAGATGAAAGGAGATAGGCCTGGTTTTCGACCCCAAGTCTGGGAGCATCCCGCTTCTGCGCCCAAGAATCGTTCACTTCTTTGCGGGCCGTGCATTTTCTGATAAGGTAGGTTAAAAGGAGTGATCTTCAAAGAGATCAGATCAAAGCTGCAAATGCTTGCCAGAAGTCACGAGCCCGCTGTTGTGGCCTCATCACTTAAGTGGCCAATACAAAAGGTTGACCTTCACCTCTGAGCATGGCAGTAGCGATAGATTCCCTTGAAAACGAACAGGGGAACATTACACAAATACTCTCAAGCACATGGATGAGGCCACGGAGACCATGGCTTTTCTTTTTGGAAGGTTCCGTGTTGCCAAGGTGGAAGGGACGGCCAGCCGTACGCAATACGCAACCGGGTTGCACCTCACAAGGACGTCCTCGTTTGCTTCTCTCGTTTTTGGATGTGGGCCCGGGGAAACCGATATGTCCAAGGAAACTCACCATGACATGCCCGAGCTGATGCCTGCCACCCAAAAGGGTTCCTATACCCCTCTGTGCTGGTTAAAGGGAAATCCCCACGAAACACTAAGCTAAAAACCTAAGGGGATGGCTGGGGACCACCAAGATTGGGCTAGAAGCTCCCTTCTTGGACCCGTTAGACAACCACAACCCGCGGAAGTCCTTGATGACCTGGCCGCCCTTGCCAATGATGCAACCCACCAGGTCTTCCTCAGCTGAGTGAGTTCCAATTAAAACCTGGCAAAGTTGTCTGCCCGAGGGAAATGGTGAGAAAAGGGCGGCCACACCATTTAAGTGCTCAAGACTGTCCCTTACTATCCTTCACTTACCCGGAGTTTGATAAGGGCGCGAGTTAAGGGGGAGCCAACTTATGCCAACTTTGCAACGGACACAGAAAAAACTGGAAACAAACTCCAAGAAACAGCAATTCAGACCATCGACATCGAGGTGCTAATCCATGCTAGTTCGATGTCTGCCTGACAAGAAACATACTGCAGAGTCGGAGGCTAAGTGGACATGATGTCGGCGAAAATCAAATCATCCAGTGGCAGCCAAAAGCTCTAGTGTTGAGCCCGGTGGCGGATTGTTATGGAGTGTTTCCCGTGAAGGTGAACGGTAGCCTCTTGAACACTCTCCCTATGAATCAACCAACGCTTGACTCATACCCTGGACCAGCGGCACTCTTCATGGATGTGGACCTCCTGACTTTCCACCCCTTCGTGAGTGCGCCATGCTTATCATAAATGCCATGAAATTTTCGTTGGTACCGCGGAAGCTGGCAAGCCGCAACCTGACTTTCCACAACCATGCAAATTCCCAAGTAGTCAGCAGCCGCCCCTAATTGGTGACGGGGATTGGTGGTTTGGAGGTTGCGGGGTGGTGTCCGATGTTCCCTGTGCAAGAACCAGAGGTTCAAACACCCAACATCCCCCAACAATCAATCCAAACAACCAATGCAGGGATAGTTGAAGTAGGGTACCCACAAACCCAGATGGCAGGCAGGGCGCCGGAACTTTCACCGAGATCACGGCCTCCTCCGAGCACTTGGCCCGCAATTGGTCGGCCGCACGCTGCACGTAGGGGCAGGAAGGCCCGCCGATGTCCACGTGACCTCAGGGTCGCCTGTCAGTACCCCCAACCAAGCAAGCTGTTTAAATAGACAAAATAAGCAAGCTTCCTTGGGGCTGTGGCACCCCACTTGGATTCTCAGTGTGATTCACTACTGGCGACCAGCAAGTGCCTTGAACGGACCAGTGCAATGGCTTGAACGGACCAGTTGCCATGACGCCTCTAAGAGGCACTCGTGCAACTCAGGAGGAACGGGATTCTCGGACGGAATTTTTGACCTAAGTTCATGCTCTGTGAAGGTAGGGATGGAAGTCATCAACCCCAACTGGGTCGGAAGGCTGGGGCTGAACATGGCTGAACATTGCCTCAACTCCGCAGCTTGCAAAGCGTATTGACGCAGGTGCCCCCAAGTGGAATCATCTGGGTAAAGCCTTGAACCCTCTGCCTCCATTTGCGGCTGATGCGTCCCCTGGCAAAAAAAGGAGAACATATAGTGATAGATTCCCTTTAACACCAACAGTGCACAGGGGAAAATAAACCAATCTTCTTAAGCAAATGCAAGGAATCCCGCGACACCCCATGAAGGCGCAATATGGCCCACATTGTCAGAGCTGCAGCTCCCGCAGGGGTTGCAAGCTCTGCTGTACAAGGGGAAATCACTGGGAACAAGATGCTACCCAATATGTCGAGTAGTGAAATCGATTCCCTGTAAAACCAACCAGGGAAAATAAAGCAACACATTTCATTTCAGCAAGTGGAAGTATATATATATATATATATCTCTCTCTCTCCTTCTCCCGGGCGGCCTGTGAACTTGTCCCCTTCCTTGACAAAAGCAATGCCTCAAGTCAAGGAGCTGCTCGACTTTGCGCAGACGACACCAACTCGTTCGCAAAATGGGAACCTGCTTGTTGGCTGGTGTGGCATACACAGGAAGCCCATGGAATAGGAGTGACCTCCACCGGTTTGGAAGCCGCCCACAAGAGCTCTGAAACATGTCGCTCCTGGTTTCCTATTGGGTGCAAACACCTCCCAACCCAGCCCAAGCCAGGCGACATTTCACGTCAAGTGCAGGCGGGTTGCTGACCCGCCAAGACGCCTCCAAAGTCGGGATCTCCGCTTGCAGATGCCGAAGGAGCTTTTGAGACACTACAACCCCATTCGTCCCCACCTTGGCAGACGAAAAGCGAAGCCAAGCTGATGTCACGCACTCATCTGCTTGCCAGTCTGAAGCCGAGTCACATTGATGTGTTTCTTCACCTCCCCGTGGACGCTGGACACTCCTCGGGTGGAACCAGGCCTTTGTTACCAGTTTGCCCAACAAAAACTGCAACCCTCGGGGGAGGCCTCCTCCGATTCCGGGTTGCAACTATTTTTGGAATCGAACTTCTTAATCTTTCAGAAACAACGGGAAAACCAGCGGTTTACGCATCCTATACACCAATTTCACCCCTGCTAAATACCCAGGGTTAAAGCCTGGAGACACTAGCCCAAACCCGCGGGCTTTCCACTTCTCAGCAACTTTGTGCCCCCTCTCCCCCTCCCAGGCTCCTTGTGACACGCTCGGCACAGGACCGGGCGCCTTTGGCGGAAACGGCCGTGGCCGCGGCATCGGCAGACGCTTCGGCGCCTTCGGCCGAAGCGGCGCTGCCGGTGGCGCTGGGCGCTTCCGGCAAGCGCTGGGCGGGTCCACGAACCTTGGGATCTGAAGACACGGATGCCCTACTCTTGCTGGTGCTCAGGAATGACCCTAAACCATCCCAGTGGTTTCCAATAAAAGGGGAATGGTGGCTTCATTCCCACATTCCATTTCCTACTGAGCACCAGCAAGTAGCGCAAGTAAACCAAGCATACTGCGGATGGTTGGGAACATTTCATTTCGAACCAAGAAACCGTGGTTGAAACCATAACGTTTGTTGGTATTTGCGCGGAAATCCAATCATTCCAGGGTTTCTTGGGCAACGGGAACATCTTGAAATGGAACACATCAAGGGTTCCGATCGAGGTCGAGCCATGAACCGGGGGACACGGAGCTCTGAACGGAGAACAAACTCCGAGGAGCAAGACGGCAAGGTGCCCAGAAACGGGCTAGAAGTGATTTCAAGTTAGCCAAAAGTTCACAAGGTAATACTCCTGGTCGCTAGCTCCCTCTTTAAAAGCACATTTGCATACTCCCAGCTCCCACCCCAGCTCTAAGTCACGCCATGGAACCCGGGCTCCACCGTGGAAGGCCGCAGTTGCGGCTCGGCCCGAGCAGCCCCGCTCGGGGCGCCTGCTGCAACGACGCTCCGCAGACCTCGGCTTTGCTCCGAAAATCCAAAAGAGTTGCGCTGGACCTTGCCCTCGCGAGTTTCAAGAGTTAGACTTTCTCCCCTTTGAGGAGTTGACAATCCAAGGCCTTTGAGGAGTTTCAAGAGTTGGACACCCCTCAAAAGTGGTTGGCGGACCTTTTTCCCCTCACTTAAACATGTCCACTACATGATGCATATCACACCCATTTGCCTACGGGAAGCCCCCGGTTTAAGTGGCTTGGAGCGCTCGTTAAAAAGTGGACCCCCGCCACAGCCCAGCGCTTACGGCCCTCCATTCGTGGATGCGCCCCCTGAAAAATAAAACAAAATGTCCAACCGTGATAGACTCCCTTTAACACCAACAGCGGGGGAACCAACATAACACATTATGTTCAGCAATTGTATATGTGGCTCTAGCGCCGTCCGCTCATCATGTTTCAACCTCCGGCCCCCCCCCCCGCTTGGCCGGAAGCTGAGGCTGTGGCCCAGGTTCCGCCGGAATTCGGTGAACTCCCGGCGGCACAAAGGACAGGCTCCCACCCGCTGGCGTCGAAGCAAGTCCTTTACCTGGGCCGAAAAACCCGAAACGCTCCGCGTTTGCCAGCGCGAGGAAACCCATACACGCAGTGAGCCAAATCCCGGGCTTTCCGCAATATTACGGCAAAACCCAGAGCCTTTGAAGGACAAAGAACTTGGCTTCAGCCGGGCCGCGCATCTTTTGCAGCCGACCGTGTGCTCGCACTTTCCCATGCCCATGCCTGGCTCCCGCTTGTCGCCGTCGTAGGGCTCCCAGCAGATGGGGCAGTCCAAAGGGCCCGGGCCCGACTCCCCAGCCTCACACGCTGAAGCTGACAGGAAGACAGCCACTTGAAGAAACAACTGACTGGGCTGCCCGTTTTCAGATCCCCCACTAAAAGTTAACTTCTAGCGGGTTAACTGGAAACTACCACTAAACACTAAAAAGCTAAAAGGCTAAGGGGATGGCTGGGAGCTACCGAGCTCTGAGAAACTGCTCATCCTCCTGGCCAATTCCATGCCTGTTGGAGAGAGAAGAACTGATTGAAAACCAAACAAATCCTGGGTCCTTTTTCGTTGTTGCAATATTTCGGGCGCCCACCATCGCCCACCCCATATTCGGGTGCAAGTAGGCACACATGCTGCCATGCTGTAAGCCCTAAAGAGGGCCCTCTCCACTGTGAATGCACGAGGTGTCCAAGGTTTTTCCCCTCGAAGCAGGGTTTTGTTTCTTGGGACCAGTCTTGACAGCAGGCACTTTGTTTCCATTGCAGGCATTCTCGGGGACCAAGGGTCTGATTTAGTTTGTTTCGGGCGAAGCGGGGTTTTCCTTGGAGCCGTGTCGCACTCTCCAGCTTGGAAAACCGAAACATGCCATATTCAAAACCGCGGGCAGCGGGATGCGTCAGTTGAGGATGGAACACCTAAGGGCTGATTGCCTCTTCTCGTCACCTATAACCGGCAATTCTCCTGGAGGTGTTTGCACATATTCAGGAAGAGAAGGATCCCCGAAGAGAATGGGGGAGGGTATGGCTAGAGGAATGGCCCGGCTGCCCCTCACTGCTTTCTAGCCATTCCGCAAATCAAGAAGCCGGCACCCCTTCCCATCTCATGCAAGCAGCCGGGCGCGCACGAACGTTTGTGGCTGCGCCTTGGCTTTTGCTCGAAGCATCGAAAGGCGACTTCGAGCTGGCAAGCTGTCATACCTTTAGTCACCTTCACGTCGATTTGGATGGACACAATCCACCTAAGAAACCCTGGAATGATGACCCCCCTGTAAATGCCAACTGGTTTCGATTTCGTCCATCCATGAATGGGTGCCATGGGCGGTTACCTTAGCCTCATATGCAGTTCTTCCTGTAAGTTACTGGGGTTTCTTCCTTGGTTTCCTCTGATGAACTGCCTGCTGCACTTGTCACTGGAAGCACTGGAATGTAGGGGTGCTTGTACATACCCCTTTTACATACCCCTCGAAAAATGAACCCAAAAGGCCTGCTGATGTTCATACCCCTCTCTCCTCAAAAGGGGTATACCCCTTATAAAGTGGGTTGGAAACCGAGTAAGCCAAGGGGTATGAACAAGAGGTATGTACTTCCACCCTTAGATGGAAGTGAGAAACGCCTCCTTAGTATAAGTTGTTTGTTTCCTCTGTAAAAAGAAGCATCCTCCACTTGCTTGCGTCTCATGACCGGCCCCGCCGAAATGCAAAGACACATCAAGATTGACAACTCTGGCCTGCACCATCAGCAGAAGGGCAGCAGGCGATACAAGCAACTCTGACAATTTACCCACCAACCCACACAGAAGTGCAGCGCCTTTTGGAAGACAATCTTCTGCTTGGGGGGTTGTCAAAGTTGTCAAACATCTGAATCCTAATTTTGACAACCCCCTTTCGATTGAGAGGCTGTGCACCTCCATAGGGGGTACCGCGGCAGCCCCTCCCCCAAAAGTCGCCAAGCAGCTCGGGGAAGCTGCTGGCGCCGGCTCCGGCTCCTCTGGATGCTGCGGAATCACTTGAGTCATGTCTCAACTGTGCAACGAAAATGCGCGATGCTCAAAGGTCGCCCGTGCCCGCTAGCCTTGACCACATCTGAAGCAACTTCGGCAGAAGGACGCCTTGCCAGCAAGGCACAAAATGCAACTTCACCTTGATTCGCAACTTTGGATTGGCGGTTTGGAGGTTAGGGAGGTTAGGGCGTTTAGGCGGGGGTGCCTTTCCTGTTCATCTTACACAAGAACCAAGGCTCAAAACCCCAAATTGCGAATAATTACACAAACGAAAGCTGCCTGCGCTTGTCTCTGCTGCTTCCAGCTCCCACATCTGGAGCGGCTTCAGCTCGCGCGGACGTGTTTGTCTCAACCGGCGGGGCCGGCGCAGCTTCTCCAGCTGCTGCCTTTGTCAGCTTATCTGTTTTGTCCTTTTTCTTCACCGGCTTCACTGTTGACGTTGTGTTTGCCGCTGGCGCTGCCGGCGCCGCTGCCGGAACTGCCGGAACTGCCGCGGCTGGTGCAGCTGGCCTCGCCGGCCCAACAAGATCAGCCAGCAGCCCTTCCTCAGTGCACAGGTCTGACTTGCGCTGGTCTGCCCCAAGAAGCTGAGAGTCCCAGTCATCTTTCTGCTCTTCTTCCGATGGCGGATCTGATGCTGCTTCATCTGCGCCAGCTACATCCTCGGCACATCCACGTGAGAAACGCACTTGAACATCCAAGACCTTCAACCTATTGCCCAAGTCACCTCTGCGGTAATGGCACTGCCTCAACCTATCACATGCACACCCACGCTAGCAACGCGTCCCTCCTGTGCAACCGCAACAGGAACTGACAAATATCCCGGTAGGCGTTCAGTCATATCGTCTACGCATGGGAATCCAGGACTCATTGTTGTCGATGGTTCCCTGACATATTCATCGGGGCGGGTTGGGGCAGGTAAACATGGCCCCAAAAGCTACGCTGAAACACGTCACCGTTATTCCCTTGATTAAAAAGACAAATGGGAGTTTTTCCAGACTCCGAAGCTGGCGGCAGTAGCAGCAGCGGAGCCTGACGTCTGAGTCTGGTGGTGGACTGAGCCTGGAGGCTGTGGGGCTTGGAAGAGGGGCCTGATGTCTGGAGATAGTCTGGAGTCTGCAGTCTGATGGGGCTGGGCTGGAGCCTGGAGCCTGAAGTGGAGGTTGGAGTCTGAAGGCTGGAGTGTGCAGTCTGGAGGCTGGAGGCTGGAGTCTGGAGTCTGGAGGCTGGAGTCTGAAGTCTGGAGGTGGAGGGAGTCTCGAGTTTGGAGGAGTCTGCAGTCTGGAATTTGGAGGAGTTGGAAGTCTGGGGGCTGGAATCTGGAGTGTGGGATTGCACTGGCGGAGCGCCTTTGGTCCTGGCAGCGGTTACCCGGGAGCACGCGAATTGTGTGCCCTGGTAAACCGCTTCTGCTGGAGAAGGCGCTTAGATAGGGGACATACCAGCAACAATACATTGATGATGCGAAACGGGCACCGCAAACTCCTAACCACGCGAACCGCGTGCGCCTGGCACACCGCTAGGCCCACGCCAGCCGCTCACCGGGAGCAAATGGCTGGGAAGCTGACAAGACGGGAAGCTGCAAGGCTGGAAGCTGAGAGGCTGGAGGGCTAGAAGCTGGAAGGCTACAAACCGGACAGCTGCGAAGCTAGAAGGCTGGTGGGCTGTAAGCTGGAAGGCTGAACGGTAAGCTGGGCTGCTGATGCTGGGTTGGCTTTCCTATAAGGTGCGCATGCGACTACAGCTATGTGTTCTTGGACTGCCGGTGCTGGCTGGGCTAGGACGCTGCGCCATGCACCTTTGCAACGCAACTAGACTGCCCCACACTGGGCTTGCGTGGCGTGGGCTGGCAGCGGTTCAACAATTGAAGCTGTTTGGTCAGGGCGGGCTTTGCTACAGCTTGTGTGTTCTTGGACACGACACAAACGGGATGGGCTCCAAAGTCGGGCCGAAAGTCGGGGCCTCTGAGAGTTGGGGCCTGAGAGTCGGGCCCAGACCAAACGTCGCGGCCCGAGAATCAGGCCCCGAGACTGAACAACCCGGGTCGACCATTTCGAAGCTAAGAGATGGGAAAACTGACTCCTGCTGTGCAATCGCAACAGGAACGACAAATATCCAGGTAAGCGTTCAGTCATATCGCTCATGTATATCTAAGCATGGGAATCCGGCAAAGCGGAAATACACGGGCTCAAAGCCAACAACGCGGAGAAGCAACCATCAAATTTCTGACATAACTGCTAGCCTCCCCCAGTAGAATGGGCTCACGTCAAACGGCAAAGTGGAGAGGCCCCGAGCCTTCCGTATGCTTCGTGGGACAAAAGAACCGCTGTAGGCCAGTGTGTTTAAAAATGGAAACGAAGTGTGCGCGCAACTCCCCTCTTGAGACACCAGCCAGCGACACGAATTGGACCAACATTTGATCGGTTCGGGCCTGAAGATTAATAATAGGGAACCAGCTTGTTGGTTGTCAGGGAAACCTCGGAAACCCACCGCTGGAAACATCCTCAAGTCATTGTGTTTCCACTGACCCCTTCGGCCCATTGAGGCGACACCCTACTTGGTATTCCCCTACTTGCAGCCCCTTCAGCCAATTCCATATTTAAGGGGGTGGGATCACTTTAATCACCAGTGCCCACCTGAATAAAACCAACCTTGAGTTCTGTGTTTGCTAGCTCTTCTACCGGTTCGCATGGGTTCCCGGCTGATCAGCTGATAGAAAATAATGGGAACCCTGCTTGGGTACCTTCAAGGAAGCAACCAACCAGTTTCTGAATGCAACCAACCAACCACAAACAGCAACGAAATCGGACCAGCAAAAAGGGGCCCGGGAAACTCCATGTCAGAATAAGACCGCATATCCTTTTTGATTGCAATTTACTGGGCCCACATCCGGGGAATATCCGGGGTACCATGAAAATGATATGGTCTGATTCTGATTTATGTCAAGCCAGCCCCAACATTTTGGAGGAGGCCCAATTGTATACCGTGCTGATTAGGGAGGCTGGAACACCTATGTAAAAGAATTGCCCATCTCCCTTTGTGCTGTCTAGCATCGCAACCCCCCAAAACACGCACGCGCCCATTCGCAGCTTGATTCAGTTCGAGCCGCGGCCCTGAGTCGATCCAGCGCAGCCTTGCAAAAGGCCTTCAGCCCCTCCGCCGGGGCATCGCCCAGCTCCCTGGCATGGCATGGGCGATCGTAGGGTCTGGCTGCTCAAACGTCGGACATCGGCCCCAAAGGGAACCCTGGTCAAACAACAAGTAAACGACGAAAACCTGCGGCCCAGCGGCTCTTAAAATTTCACACCCAGGCTTCAAACAAACTGGACTCCCTGCTAATCAACGTGGAACCCAAAAGGCTTCGAAAAGGTCCCTTCTCAAACGGCGATTTGGGTTCCATTTTTACCTGCAAAGCACCATTAAGCCATTAAGCAAACCAGCAAAATTTACAGGCTGCCTTAAGAGAAAAAGTCGCCTTTCAAGGTGCACTTTCGTAGGGTTGCTACTCAAGCCGTTGGACAGTTCCCGGGTTTCCCCTTTGGGAATGCTGGAAGCATGGAATTGGTGAAACCCCCGGCCCTTCTGCATCCCAGGCCCAACAGAGGCAAGTGTCCGTAACAAAGAGATTCCTCTAACAATGATGTTGGTTCCGTTTTCACCGGCAGGGGAGTTCATGTTCGTCCACTAATAGTGAAATTCGAGAATTAGTAGCAACCCCTTGGTTTGTTGATTCGCGACCTTTCCATTGAGGTGATGGTATCACGGTATCAAAGAAAACCTGCCCCAACGACGCTGGCACTGTTTGCAGCACTGTGCATGCGTTCCCCTATATGAAGTATTGAGTTGGCATGCGCCTTTGAGACCCTGACGGTACAAGCAAGCAAGCAAGCAAGCAAGCAAGCCAGCGAGCGAGCGAGCAAGCAAGCAAGCAAGCAAGCAAGCGAGCGAGCGAGCAAGCAAGCAAACAAACCATAAAAAACAAACAATCAAACAAGCAAGCAAAACCAACAAACAATCAACATCTCCCTCTATCTCACACCATCTTTTCAAAAGTCATCTTCAGGCTGCAGGTCTTTTCGTGCGATGTCCCAAGTCTGAGGGTTGAATTGTCTTAATGCTCTCAGCTCAGGAGCACCTTAACCACGTCAAATTCAACTGGACATGACAAGCGCACAATATCATTTTGGGCATGCAGGAACAGGGGGAAAAATGGTGGAACCCCATTTTACTTGGAAGCCAGGAAGGAAAAAACAAGATTGATAGAAAACCCCAAGATTTCGAGAAATACCCACAAAGACACACACACACACACACACGCAACAATAACAACCTGCTTGCTGAAGGTCGTCCGCTTTTCCAGGGAAGGGAGAAACGATGAACCGATGCGCCTGATTCTTTGAAGCAGGGTCTCGGCGAGGTCCTTCTCATCGCTCTTCACAGAGATGATGAAGTCCTATGCAAATAATGTTGACCCAGGAGTAGTAAACCCGTCCCAGTATTCAAGGATTCTCCCTGCAAAAGTGAATAATCCCCGCTAAAAGGGGACACCCCCCAATCAAAATCAACCAGGGGTTTATTAATCCGGGGTTCACATTACTCAGATTTCTATGGTGGAAGTACATACCCCTTTGTTCATGCCGGTTCCTTGGCTTCCCTGGTGTCCAACACTTTATAAGGTGTGTACACCCGTTTTGGGGAGGGGTGTGAATCAGCAGGCCGTTTGCTCAAGGGTATGCAAAAAGGGTATGCACAAGCACCACTGGAAGATCCTTGGCCACTAAACTTAGCTCTATGCAACAGTCAAGAACATGTTTTGGAGGACAACTTCTTGTTGGGAAGCCGATTTATCGGGGTCCATGTTTGTCATCTTCCTTTTTTGTGTGGGGGGGAAGGAGGTTCAAAAGAACTCCCCGGAAGCATCACATTTTGTACGAGAAACTGTGTTTTGGGCCCTTTTTTGGGGACCCAAACATGAATTCTCAATTTGTAGAGGAATCTTTTGGACCTGCTCATTATTACTTTTTGCTGGTTCCATGCTCATTGGGGTACACATGCACGAATTGAATAGTAAAGGCGCATCTTTGGGCGTCTCATATACTACCATGTCCTTACAGAACTCCTGGTAACCAGTATCTGCTCTGCTCACTACTTACCTGCAAAGTTGGATGCCCCCAGCTCCTTGGCTCCCTTCCAACCACCAGCTAGTATAGGCGAACACTTCCCACCATGGTCCTTTTTCTTCGGGAAGCACACCTTCCATCGGCTCACAACGTTGTGCCTCCGGTCCGGGGACCTTGGCTGCGCCGCCAAATGGAAACAGAAAAGGGGAACCCCCAAAAAAGTAAGCCCCCCCCCCCAAAAAAAATGGGCTGCCCTCAGATCCCCCGCTAAAAAGTTTAACTTTTAGTGGGTTGAGTGGAAACTACCACTAAACACTAAAAGGTTACAAAGCTAAGGGGATGGCTGGGAGCCACCAAGAAAAGGTACCCAAACAAGGTAACCCAAAAATTGCAAAAAGAAAGGGAACCCCAGAAAAAGGTCCAGGGATCGATCAGCGGATCAAATGTTTCGAGCCGCCGGCTGATGGTGGCCGTGCTTGGCGCCCAATTTCTCTTTCTCCCTCCCCTCCCTTCCTCAAGCTTGCAGCCGCGGGGCACGAAGCCTTCATTGGACATTCAAACGCGTGTCAAGCCATGTGCCGGCCAGGGTTCTACATTGCTCCCTGGGAGTGAATGCTCACGACAGCTTGCCCCTTACGGCTCTCTCTCTCTCTCTCTCTCTCTCTGGTGTTTCTCTTCCTGGGTGTGGGTTCTTGGGCAGTCTGTAGTCCTACAGAGGGCCATGCCCAATTTCAAGGCTCGGCGTTTCGCCCTGAGGCTGTGTAATTTTGAGGATACCCCTTTTCAATGGAAACCAAAGGAAAACCACCATTTTGGGGGGTCCGCAAAAAGAAGACACACGCATGTGGGCAATATTACGGCTAAGGGTCCAAGCACTTTGTGTTATGTGGCACGATGCTTCGGCACGATGCTGGGACCTGCTTCACCCAGGCCCTTGTGCTGCCTGCCTTTGCGGCTGTAATCGGCCGAGCTTTCGGCTGAAGGCCACTGCGCTGTGATCCAGGGACAAAGGTTCCGGTCACAACCCACTGTGCCTGACAAAGGGAGAATGTATGGGGAAGGGGCCATTTTTGGGGGCAGTGTCCCTTCCATACAATACATTGCGATGGAGTGGGGGTCGATATCCTCATTTCAAATCAACCACTGCGTTTGGCTTCAGCAAGCTATTTCGTTCTGGTTCAGGTTCTGCTGGACCTCACCCCACTCCAAGTGGTAGAATCCCCTACAACAAGTGTGTTGGGCGCTCTGTTCACTTTCCGCGCGGTCTCACCAAAAGCCTGGGTGGCCCTCAACCAAATGCAACATGACCCAGGCCCTGACACGAGGCCGTGTGCCCTCTCCCTTGGAGGGTGCTTCCCTCAAACTCTGCTGTTCTGCTCTTGGAAGGGCAACGGGGAAAGTGGCTAACTGGCTCGGGTGCTCAACTTTGAACACCCAATTGGAAATCCACTGACAAACCGCTTCCATTTGCTTAAGCCTCCCGGAAAAAAATGGAATAATTTCAGTAGTGATAGATTCCCTCTAAACCCAACAAGGGAAAATAAAAATAAATAAATAAATAAAAGATACAATATGCTTATGCAAATGGAAGACCGCCAACCAGAGTTTGTTCCAGCTTAGCCAAGGAAGCTGCCGGCCGGCCTCCGACCGCTTCAGCTCGAACCTGTGTGCCCCGCGCGCCGCGCTTACCCCGTCTGCCATGGCTGAGGGGGAAGGCCAAATAGCAAGCAAGTAAACAAAAAGCCAACCAACGAAACAAACAAGCAGGCCTGGCAAGGCAAGGCAAGGCAAAGCAAGGCAAGGCAAAGCAAGGCAAAGCAAGGCAAACAAAGCAAGCAAGCAAATAATCCAACCAGCCAAACACGCATCAAACAAACAAGCGAACGAGCAAGCATGCAAACAAGCCAACAAGTATCAACGATCAATCGATCAACCACTCCATCAATCCAATCAACCAACGAATCAAACCAATCAAATCAAATCAATCAGATCAAAACAATCAATTAAAGCAATCAAATCAATCAATTCAATTCAATTCATTTCAATGAATCAACCAATCAATCGAATCCAGTCAAGTCAAATCACTCAACCAAACCAGCAACCAACCAATCCAATCCAATCTAAGCCACTCCACTCCAATCCAACCCACTCCAATCAATCAATCAATCAATCAATCAATCAATCAATCAGTCAGTCAATCAATCAATCAATCAATCAGTCATTCAATCAATCAATCAATCACTCAATCAATCAATCAATCAATCAATCAGTCAGTCAATCAGTCATTCAATCAATCAATCAATTAATCAATCAATCAATCAATCAATCAATCAATCAATCAAATCAAATCAAGCAATCAAAACAATCAAAACAAATCAAGCAAGCAATCAAAACAATCAAAACAAATCAAATCAATCAAATCAATCATGATCAACCAAGCAAACAAGCAAACAGAGTGGTTGGCTGGTTGGCAAGGTAACTGACTGCAACACACACACACACACCGCTCTATGTCTTAATTGGCCATGAAACGCGATGTGTCTAACACAAATTGGGACCCCTTTTTTCACCCTGAGTTTCCTTGCTTGGCGATTCCCTTCACCCAGTTCGCGTCTCAGGGCGCTGGCTCCAGCAAACGGCTGGCCTCGGGCATGTGATGCACCAGGTACCAGCCAAGAGGGTAGAAATACTTTCCGGTGCTCACTACGGTAGGCAAGGAGTTGCCTGGGAATGAACCGGTTTTTGGGGATCTTCCAAGAAAGGACACCATAGGGGGGTGCACTTTAAAGTTTTTCGGGGTCAAGAATACAGGAAACCTGGAACAAACTTCCACAAAGTGAGCGGAACAAGTCCCCTATGCAAGAGCCGTTGATAAGTCTCAAGTACTCTTGGTTGACGTTGGAAGGGGAGCAACATTTAATTTTTAGCAGTCAAGTGGGGATGTCCCACTAAATCACAATAAGCAAACATGTAAAATGTGTCCCAACAACAACCATGTAATACCTGGCTACCACCACGTTTGGCCGAGGGATCTACTTAATACGGGGTCAAGATTGCGGAGATGTTGAGGGATTATTTACCTGTCGCCGCATTTTTCACGGCTCGTCTTGGGTCCGAGCACAGTTCAGCAGCTCGTCTTCCCCCTGCGTCGCGACACCTATCAAGTGGGCCCTGTTGGCCCCGTGGATCTCTCAATCAAAACCAGCACTTGACGGGCAACCAGAGGGAGGCATCCTAAGCAGCTTCAATTGGTGGTTGCATTGGTGGTTTGGCGGGAAAGGGGAGGGTTCCCATTTACCCTCTACACGGGGTTCATATCTCCAAACCACCAACTAAGGCTTAGCTGCTGATGAAAAGGGTGATCACACCGGCGGATACCTTTCGGTTTCGGAAAGCTTCACGTGAGCGCAAGCCGAGCGCCCTGCTACGCGCTTCCACCAAGGCGTCGGCGAGAGCCTTCCAAACCAAGCTCAATCACCTCAATCTCCCGCCAGGAGATTGAGGGGGGGTTATTTAGGTGTCCTGAACTTTCGGGGTGGGGAGGGGCGCACACACAAATGTGTTTGTTCGACAGATCCTTTTTTTTCTAAGAGAGAAACATCTGAAACAACCGCTAAGTTACCAACTGGCCCCTCTCGCGGGGGAAACCTGCGGTGGTTGGAAAATCCATCGGACTCACTGGTGTCCCTCGTGCCTCCAGCTGTTCTGGCCTCGGCCAGAAATGAACCGTCGCACGGGAAACGTGGAAACACCGGACAGCGGGGGGGGGGGGGGGGCAAGGAAGACCATGTTGCTCTGAAATCGCTGGAATCATAGACCTTGAAGGGGGCTATGAGGAAGGGGGCTATGCCTTATTATCCCTTAAAAATGCCTTAAGGGCCTATCCGTGGCTTATGCAGCACAGCCCCCCCAAGGGATCCGGGATGAAAGGAACCCTCGGAACACTCTGGTTCCATGTTAGTTGGTTAGCGTGCATTCCACTTCGCATGAGCAATGACAGAGGGGCAGTCTCAAAGCCTGTGCTCGCGCCTGGATCCAAACAAACAAACACAACAAAGTCTCTCCGCGTCCCCTGCGAGAAAACACATAGACCTCCAGAGTTGTTAAATCAAAACTAAGTACCAATGGGATGTTAGCTGCCTTTCGCGCCCGCGTCACAAACCAGGACCCACCAGCCGGTGTCCCAAGCTCGAGCGCAACCACATGCCCAGCGGTTGATGCAGGGGGACACATAGCCGCACCCTACCCCCGGGGGTTTGGTCCCTTAGGCCCTAGACTCGCAAGAGGTTCAGGGGCCCCGGCGCACAGCAGCCAGGCCTCACAAAGGCTGAGGCTCGTGGATTCAATGAAAGGAACTTGGGATGAACACTCCTCTCTGTTAGGTCCTGTTAGGTCCTGTTAGGTCCTGTTAGGTCCTGTTAGGTCCTGTTAGGTGAGAACCTGTTCATCCTGAGCATTCGCAATCTCTCTTGCTTCCTTTGGCTCACAAATGTGCCGGGTGACTCTGCATTGCTCGCTTCAGCGCACAAGGCCCCTGCCCATTTACAGCATCCTGCTCAGCGCTGATGACTACAACCTGACCGACCAGGAAAATGCGCCGGTCATTGCCAGATCTGTGCGGACATAAACCGCCCTGTCGGGGAAACCTCGGCTGGTTGGCGTCAACAAGGCTTCCTCCTGACACCATATCAAGTTTAGACTATCTTCCGGATGGTGCTCAAGCAAACCAAGGGTCTAACCACCCTCATGGGACACCAAGCCCAAGGTCATCTTGACCCAGGATCTTGCCTCCATGGCTGCCACCTCAGGGGGACAACCCTACGGCTGGCGACCCAATGGCCATGATGCCCTTGACAAAACAGGTGCGCTGCCTTGATTTCATGTCCAAACATGTGTCACAAAGATTCAGCTTGACCAACCATTCTTCATTTCCCATGAGTCAACTGGAAAAACTTTACGTCGCCCAACTGAACTCAGCTGAATCTCCCGCAACGCTTTGAGGACCACCCCCAGGCTCACTTCCCGAGTGGGCGCGCAAAAGCAAGTAAAATTGTGTTTACCACCAAAATGATCTTCCCAAAAAGTGACTAAAGTCCAATTCGGGGGGTGTCATAGACAAAAATCATTGGTGTCTAAGTTTCCAATAGGGTTCAAGTAGATGTCACTCCCAATTAAACTATGGGGATGTGTTCGCTTTTCTTTTGCCAGTTGGATGAAAGGCTGCGGCTACTTTCCTACCTTTCCCACACACGTCTACTGTGGGCTTCGAAATGGTAGGTGTTCTTTTGGATTTCCCCTTGAAACCCAACCAAAAAGACCGGATACCCCACCAAAAAAGACAGACCACCACGCTTAGGTTCATTCGGTGGATGGAGAAAATCCTGCTCTACCGTTCAGAAATCCTGGAATGCTGATTCCCTTGTAAATGCCAATCAACTGTTGGATTCCACCCGTGGAATGATGATCCCCCCAAAATACCGTAACAAGCAGCTTGGTTTCCACCATGATTTCCAAGAGGTGCGAACGGATGTCATCCTACCTTCACTTTCTGGGAG